TGTGCATAGATTTACAATTAATAAGCCACAGCTATCATATATATCCTACAATAATTAGCAGTTCAGGCAATAAATTCGTTCGCATGTCAATATTAAGTTCCTGACCTATTCGTGGTGACGACACGCAATTATCAAATTCAAGAAACATTACACAGTGTGTTGTCAGTAGTTACCTAAGTCTTGTTAACTTTATAAATATGAATAATGTGTACGTATTTCTGTTTGTTAGCTTTTTGTTGTTCATAGAGTAAATGTTCTTGCAGAATAGCAAGTGGAACTTGGCTTTGTGTAGACACTATGCGAAGACTACTACATAGATGTAGTTTTATTAATAAATATTTTATATTTCGTTTCTTTTGTGTATATAATATATAAAGAGCAAATTATTATAGTACATTTTTTTATATTTGTACTTAATTTAATTGAAAATTGCTATATATAAATCATTTGCGTTTTATAAAAAACAAAAACAAATCTAACCCACGGGAACCGTACTTTTTTTCCGGGATAAAAAGTAACCTATGTATTATTCTGATGTATGAGCAATATTATTGCAAAGTTTCATCAAAATCCATTCAGTAGTTTTTGCGTGAAAGAGTAACAAACATACATCCATATATACATTCTTACAAACTTTCGCGTTTATAATATTAGTAGAATTTTAGTGGTTCGAGGCGCGATCTTCGTATTTGATAATTCATCGTATACATTGACAATTTTATACTTTTAAATGGTAAAGAAAAGTCTAGAAATAAAATATAATAGATATTTCAATATTTTCATTTGAGTAACAAGTGTTACTTGTACTTAAGTATTGTAACACAAAGTAACCACAGAGTATCAAATAGGAAGTTATGCAAGCGAATGCAAGACGTGTATATCTGCGGTCTGCACTTTGACAAAATGCGTTTCAAAGTAAGATGACCCACTTAGTAGTTATGATTTATGACATTATTTTTGACTAATTTTTATTTTTTAGAGCTTGGGTTGACATAAAAAAATATTTTGTTTCTTAATAAAAAAAAATCTATATTACTATGTCGATTTGAGAATTTTCCTAGCCATTTCGAAGTTTATTTGATTTAAAGTTACAAACGCAAAAAATTGTGTATGTGTGTATATGTGTGTTAATTCTTTACAATGTAACGGCTAAACAGATTTGAGTAAAATTAAAATTTGAGGATAGCTTACATGCTAGAATATCACAATACGGGCAATAATTTTTATAAGCATTTCATGCGAGCGGGGCCGTGGGGGAAAGCTAGTATATTATAATTATTGTCAAAAAAAACCTCAGACAAATAATTGTTATATGTAGCTTTAGCATAATATTCTTTTAGCAACATTAATATACAATACACATGTATATTACACATCATTTAAGATAACGATGAGTAACAAAGGAACAATAAAAATAATTACTATAATATTTTAGAAATTTACTCTTTGCTTACGCCATCTACATGTGTTTTCTAGAACTAAATAAAACGAAATTATCGTGTCCAATGTAGCAGTTTTAAAGACTACGAATACATTTTAATTATATTACTTTATAAGAGATGGCAGTAGCTGTGATATTTTTCATAAAGAAGCTAATTTTAAATAGGTTAAAAAATAAATTCAAATAATTATTTACTTAGATTTACACGAATATTTAATATTTTAAATAAAATTATAATTTTAATGGGACAGTCTCTTCCGTGACATATGAAAATAAATCCACGAAAAATTCCGATCGATTTTATATAAAGATTAAAGAATTTATTTATAGTTATTAATCAGTTATAATAATAAATTGGTTAATATATAAGGTAAATGTAAAAGATATGTCTGTCTGTACTCCGGACACATTTTTTTACTGCGCTTTCCACCTAAGTATTAATCAATACTTTCAAACTTTGTGATATTAACACAAAAACTTATACTTTTCCAAAAATTTATAATTTATACTTATCCAGGGAGACAACCTATTTAATGGATAGAACATAAAAATATTTTTGAATATTATAATCTACGAATAAACAGTAGTATTGTTATTTGTTCGTAGTATATACAATTTAAGTATAATATTAAAAAAATCTTTTATGATATCTCGTTATGTCTACTTATATTTCGTATATAGAGCTGAAAAGTTTGTTTGTTCGTTCATTCGTTCTTTCTTTTCTTTTTTTTTTCTTTGTCAATTCCTTTACTATTTTAATATCTATCTATTAGGGACGTTAATAGGCTCTTTTACATCACACTACGACCTAAAAAAACGGAGAAATTCTACAAAAATAAAAGAAGCGAAGCCGCGAAAAAAACGCTAGTTATTTATATGCATATGTGTTTATAAAATACAAATAACTAATTTAGAAAACAAATATTTACTCTTACATTGTTCAATCTCTTACATTTTGTACCTCATGAGATTATCACTAGATAGATACGTCCAATTAGCGGTTCGCCTCAGATTCCACGTTTTAATGGCCAATAAACCCCCAAATTGACATAGTTTGAGCTCTCAGCATCTGGATTATCCTATATTTTTATTACTAATTTGCATACTTGTATTAATTAAACCATGAAAATGATTAAATTACTTTGTCGATATTATTGTGTTTATTTCTCAATAATCATAATATATATAAATGCAAAAGTATGTAAGTGTGTATGTTTATTACTACTAGACGTAGAAATGAATGATATTTTGTACACAGATATAGTCCAGGACTAAGACTTGGAATAACATTAATTGGCCACGAATGAAAATTAGGAAAATTAGGTCACGAAGTGGCGCTATCTGTACCTTCAGATAGATATACCTATATAATATTATAAAAAAATGGCACACGTGGACACACCCGAGTGTAGCGAGGGTAAGTCGCTAGTATATATTATAAACAGTACATAACGGCGTCTGTACACGATATTTTATTGATACGGTTTTCACTATTATTTATAGAATTTATATATAAAATATGATTTAACGGGGTATTCATTTTCTACCGATATCATCTTTAGTGGTAATTAATCTTGTGGGCGTTTTCAGGGCTCAATGCGGGTACAAAATAAAATATTCAATGATTAATACAATTTAATGAGCGAAATCACAATGTTATAAACTTGTAACGATAATTTTAATTGTTTAATTGAGCAGTTCTCGATACCGATCTGCCTTCAACACACAACACTCCAATGATCCTCCACGATCAACCAATAAAACTTTACCAAGCCACATATGTATATATCTCCAACAAATGTCATGATGGCGCCTAGACCGCACTCGAGACGTCGCCTCGACTCTTAATTTGATTTCGATTTGATGTAACATTACATAATGACTTAAACAATAAGGTTTTACATTAAATTATGATTCATTTCTATTAAATCCTCCTCCGACATATATAAACAAAGATCGGTCAAGTGCGTGTTGAATTCGCACACGAAGGGTTCCGTACCGTCGTACATATACTTTTTATTTATATGACTTTTATTCTATGTATGTAGGATATTAATTTCGATAATCGATTATGAACGTTAAAAAAATGTTTCTTTTATTTGTATTTTTATTATTTATTGTTATAGAAGCAATAGCAATACATACTCTATGAAAATTTCAACTCTCTACCTATTACGGTTCATGAGATACAGCTCTCTGACAGACGGACTGACCGACGGACGGATGGACAGCGGAGGCTTAGTAATAAATAGGGTTCTGTTGGCACCCTTTGGGTACGCAACCCTAAAAAGTCGAATTGTTTTGTAATCAAGTCTTTACGCCCGAGCAAGGGGTGGACAAGAACCCACTGAAGTGACAAATAACAATATCTAACAATACGATGTAAGAAGAAGAACCTTGTACGTTGTTAGTCTTTTAAACTACGGAAGTTATTTTAACGATGTCAGGAGATATAAAGATATCTCGTTTTCAAAAAAAATAAATTGATTTTTATTATTTACCCCACATTTTAAAAAGGATGATAATGAAATTGAAACTTTTAGCCTAAACAACATCAATACTAGTGCATACGAAATGAATATAGGTATAAATATTATATTGAAATAAAAAATACGATGATTTAATTCTACTAATATATAAATGCGAAAGTTTGTGAGGATGTATGGATGTCTGGATGTATACATGTATGGATGTTTGTTTCTCTTTCACGCAAAAACTACTGAATGGATTTTAATGAAAGTGTACAATAATATAGCTCATACATAGGAATAATACATAGGCTACATTTTAATGCCAGAAAAATGTACGGTTCCCGTGGGATATTTTTATTTTTCTAGAGGCAAACCCGAGCGAAGCGAGCCTAAGCCCCTAGTCGAGTATAATTTAAGAAGGACTCCAAAAATCATTTTATAAGTATTCCACCTTTAAGACTTATAGAGATTTATATGGTACCAACCTTTAGATATAATTTAGTAACTAAAAAAAGAATCATGAAAATCTCTTAACAAACGGCGACGACGATGCAAACAAAAAATATGTACGTCCAATTCGAGGAGTCCTTTTTAAATTCGGTCAAAAAAGAAGTAACGCTACGATGTCAATATCGGTTAGTTTGCCCGGAGGGCCTCTTACATGGTTAAATGACTGCTGCAGTGAATTGAGTACTTCCGGAAGCGATTTGTTTGTCACACGTTTTATAGCTCTAAAACGCTGAATGGTTTGTCAAGAAGTGTTCATCCATCCAGTTGTTTGGTACAAGGGACATAGGAACTTTGTAAATGGTAAAAACTCCATCTATCAATGAATATGATTCTTTGGAAAAAGTATTTATTAACATTACAAGTTCAGGGATCTCTTTTTCTTTTATTTAAACATTATTATGCAACGCCATCTAGAATAAGTTCAAAACAAAAGTGTTATAACAACATTCAAGTTGAACTTTTCCCATGTAAATTACCACATAAGATTAGACCGAAACACAATCTGTTCGGTTTACGTATGATTCAGTCATAAACATCCAAACAATTATTAAATAATATTATTTTCAATTTGGTTACAGAGTTACAAAGAAAAGGATGCTGGCAAGGTCGTGTTATATACAACGACTATGGGGATCGTACGTAGCACGTATCAGAGATGTCTTCTGGTCAAGAAGATCTTGAGGAATCTACTGATAAAATATGAAGAGCGAGATGTCTTCATGAGTACTGAGTACCAGGATGAGATCAGGGATAGAATGCGAAGCGATCAAATACTGGTGCCACAGTTGTTTATAGACGGGCAGCATGTTGGGGTAAGTATTCTAATACAATATTATTTTACCTTATTGCCGTTGAGACAGAGAATTTGACAATATACACAATCTTTTTCTGTGTAAAATCAGCCTGTGTACTTTTAGTATAGATAGGTTTAGTATAGATTTCTCAGAGATGGGATGTTTTTCCGCTGTAAAAATTCTATATATTGACCCGATAACCAGCTATCGACATACCAAATTTCATCTAAATCGGTCCAGTGGTTTTGTAGTGACAGACAGTCAAAAATTCTGAAAACTATAGATTCGGCCTATGTATAAACAATAATGACTATTTCAATAAGATTTTCCAAAAAATATTTAATGTACAGATTCGACACAGAAATTTAATATACGTATAGATTGTCTCCAGTCGCTTGCTACTAAAGGCCTTATTAAACTTTATTCAATCACTTCAAAGGTTTGTTCGAATGTATCTCTATTCATTTGTTAGGTGATTAAACTTTTGAAGTTACACGCACGATTTTATATTTGGAAATTTAATTAAAAATAGTACATTGAATCTATGGAAAATTTCGCTTCTAAGCATTCCAAGAAAACAAGGGTCCCATTGGTCCGGCCAAATATTATATCAAAATACACAAGCAGGTGTAACCGCAGTTAGTTGATACAATGAAAATTCTACATTTATTAACATAATATATAGTATGTTAATAGCAATTTAAGCAGTAATTTATAATTTAACTAGCGTGTAATATATGCTTCAGTATGTAAATGCTTTTCAAAATACCTTTAAATTATTGTGAAGATAAAACTAATTAGAATAAACGTCTTCCTGGCATTTATAACCCACATCTGTTTAGGAAACACACTTTGTAGTTTTCTTTGAAGTAGCTAAAAACTTAAGCTAAATTAGCAGAAATATTAAACTTTGGGTCACTTTTTTTTGTATTAAATAACAATTAATAATATTAATAGTTTTAAACATTCAAAGCAAATAAGGAGCATCTTAAAAAAATGATCTTTACTAGTTTTATTCATACGAAAATGTTACATGAACTCTTATGTCACATATCTATTTTGTTGCTGACAATTGATTTATACTACGGTTTATGACTTTACATTTAGCGGTTAGTATTGCTTACAGCTTAGTTTTTAACCTAATACATCGTATACGAACTCTAGCATTAATGTATAAAATTACAGTACGACGAGACGAGTACATAATACGAAATTTGTAAGATTTGTTTTGTACCACATACATATGTATATAATATTATATTTTTTTGTTTTCTACCCCCAGTTTCATTTAATAAAACTTCATAAAAATCATGAAGAAAGTATAGTTTCTAAATTTTTTTTATAAAATTCAAAATTTACATTATTGTAAAAGAAGCTCGAGAGCTTCTTTAACAAGTAAGTTAACTTGAGAGTTATATCAGAGGATTTTGATTATTTTGATTACAAAAATTGGTTATTTCACAACGAAGTATTGTTTTGTAATATGTCAATTTTTACGCCAAGATGAGTCGTTAAGACGTAAAAACACCGACTTTCACAGTTTAAGTATAAGTAAAATTAACTTTAAATTAGAAAGTTTCTAATGACTCGTCTCTGTGAATACTGTCTGTACAAAAAGTAGTAAGAACTAAAAACTAAATTTTTTTGGATCTGGTGCCACATTAGTGCTTCTACCATTGCACCCTTTATAGTCGAATCGGACCTCATCGACACATCCTTCTTTATCCTTGATATTCCAAAAAAAATCTTCCGCATTTTGCTCCTAAGGTCTTAGTTGAGTGCTATAAGGGATTTTTTTTAAATCATCTTTTATTGCAGATATCTGTGGACGATAACGACGTACCATCGGCTGAATAGCTTGCTTAGCATTTGCCTCTTTTTAAGACCTATATTTATTAAAAAAAACTTTTTTTCAATACAATAACATCCCATGGAAACTTCTAGATATATTATAGTGGGATAAAATTTGCACATATCATTTTTCTCGCTGATACCAAGACAAAAAATAAAACCTAAATATCCGTTTAGTATACATTTCTCAGAGATATTTTCCCGCAGTAAAAAGTATCCTATATGTTGACCCGGATAACCAGCTATCATCATACCAAATTTCATGAAAATCCCTATAGTGGTTTTTCCATGATGCGGTCACAGACAAACAAATAGACAGACAGACAAAAAATTCTAAAAACTATACATTCGGCCTCTGTATCGATATTTATGACTATTTCAATAAGATTTTCCAAAAAATATTTCATGTACAGATTCGGCTAAGTTACAATTTTATTATATGTACAGATAAAGATTACATTGAATATTAGTTTAGCTTTACTGAAGCTTTTAATCCTAATATTTAACATAATTAAAAACAATATAGATATGAAAAAGAGAAATTAATTACTTATATTTAGGTAATTTTGCGTTTCAAGAATCTTTGATTACCATAATATTACTCAAGGGCAATTTTATGTACTTGACGAATACTAATGATAATGTAGTAAGGCATTAGCGAAATAATCTTTGATGAAATTTAATAGGTACCGTTTTATTGGAAGATGACTAAATCATTATTTAGGATTCTGCATATTGTATAATGTAGAAAAATTATTTATAAGTAAATAGTATAGACAATATATTATAGTATATTTTGTGTACTTATATATTTTTTTGTGAAGCTTTCTTTTTTAAATAATTAATAATCTATAAAAAGTAAGTAAAACTTTCCAAAACATTATGTTACAATTTTATGCTATTATTTTTATAAAGAAGGTATTACTTATTATACAAAAACTCGTTTCGAATAATAAGTATACAAAAAGCGGAGCTTATCATGTTAACTTATAAAAATTACTTATAAAAGAATTTTAAAACTATAAATATAATATTATGAACAAAGATGATAAGATAATCTTTTGCTTTGTTACCGCCTTGCTTCAGGCCTTTCATGTATCTTATGTAACTTGTTTATTTACTACTTACCCTTGCTTTGCTCGGGTGCCTTTCTCTTCATAGCCTCCGAAACTACTCATCCAGTTGTAAAAATTCTTTCACCAATGTTTAGAATAGTCCTTCAGGGTAGACATAGAGTTTATATTATTTTTTGTAACAAAAAGGCTTTTCGTTGAGGCAAAGACAACGTAATTAATAAGTCACGAATTGCAAAGTTAAAAGAGATGCTAGGTAGCGCATAATATTTATATTGTACTAATTATAAAACAGAGGTTGTTGTGTATTAATTTATTGTTACTGTGAGTTGTACTTGTCAAAATTCAAATTTCTTTATTCGTTATTGGTATTTCCTAAATACACTTGTTTATGAAAGATTTAACCAACAATTTGGAAAAAATACCTCAGTCCTAAGAAGAACCGGAAAAAGAAAACAGCGAATAAAAGTTATTGCTATATATATATTCCACTATCTACTCTGTGGTTAAACTTACGGACTAGTAGAGTCATAAGTTATCTGTGTAGTTAGTTCAGAACTTAATCAACGCTCTGTAAATTAAAGTTAATTAAAATAAATTGTGTTTCACTGAAGATATAACAGTTATCAAACATATTAATTATTAGAGCCTTAACATAAAATCGCGTCAATTTAGGATTTTGCTTTGAAATAACTCTTTCAAAACTCTATCACTTTCTCTGTAACCTAAAGAGGTTATACTTAGTTCCGCCTCAGGTGATGCAAGTGGCTATGGTTTTACCATCAAGCAAGTCAATATTCTTAATTTTGACAATAGCATAATGAACTTATTTTCATACATAATAATTTAGCAATGATTAACGAAAATCGAACCCAGAACCACGTTACGCTTCGGTAATATTTTGCCAACATTATAAATTACTATATTACTATAATAATCGTGAGGTTTGAATAGAACAGCATATATCATTTTTGTTTCTTTCTGTTGTATTGCAAAAGTCTAGACTGCTTTAGGAGATAACTTCATACTTTTTATTCTTAAACTTTTATAACCTTAGTACCAGTATGTACCAGGATTTTCAATTTATGTACGAATTTAGCCTTTATTATTACAGTAATAATTACGATAATCGCTTGCTCTTATATTTCATTGCTACATTTGGCATTTAAGAGCCTTTCTACCAAGAGTTTTTTTACATTGTCAGCTTCGTGATTGTGAAATTTTTTAAAACACTATAGATTATAGATATAGGTATGTATTATGTATATTTACTTGTATACTCTGTATTTATTTATTGCATACTAGCGACTACTAGGTACGTTTTAATTTAAGCGGAACCCTAATTTTTTTTTTATGGAATAAAAGTACCCTAAGTTACTCCTTATAACATCAGATATCTGCCAGTGTAAGGCCCGCCCAAATCGGGCCAACTATTTCGGAACCGTAACAAACAGACAGACAGACAACTACACTTGACCAGCGTTAAAGAATGGTTTTATACCCCTCGAAGAGGAAGACCGATCCTCGACGTTACGTGGACGTTAAAAATGCCTGAATAAGATATTAAACTTATTTACGTGAAAACTGGCAAAAAATTACCATTTTTCTAATGAATAAAATAAAGAGAACCTGTTGCAAGAAAAAATATAAGCCGCTTTTATTTCGCCATATCACAGTGTATTTATTTTTCATTTAATTACCACAAACGTGGCTTGTATTTTATATGAGAGATATAAAACATAATGAATCTATTTGTTTTTTTATCTTTTAAGCCGAAAAAGCTAATTTTTATCATACACAAACAATTTTATATATATAATTATATTGAAGTAGAATAAAGGAACATTGCACTTACTTTTTATCAGTTTTTACAACAAAAAAAACATACAGTCGAATTGAGAACCTCCTCCTTTTTGAAGTCGGTTGAAAAACAGAAAAACATGCATATTTTCACAAAATTGGATGATGTGTGTTGGATCGTGGTCCTCAAACAGATGCCTTCCCGCTGTGGTTACTAAATTGATAATATAAGGCTAATATTTCTAATAGCATTTTGGGTTATTTTCTTTTTAGCAGAAGTTTTCTTACGCTTGT